ACATTTCTGAGCGATTCTCTCGAACAGTGTTTAACCTACACAAAATGCCGAAGTAAGCGTTTTCCGAGCGATTCTCTCGAGCACCGTCGGACGTGCAGAAAGCCTCGAAATAAGTGTTTTCCGAGCAGTGCACTCGAACAGTGTTTAACATACACAAAATGCCGAAGTAAGCGTTTTCCGAGCGATTCTCTCGAACAACGTGGGATGTGCACAAAGCCTCGAAGTAAGGCATTTTTGAGCGATTCTCTCGAACAGTGTTTGAAATACACAAAATCCCGAAGTAAGCGTTTTCCGAGCGATTCTCTCGAACACCGTCGGACGTGCAGAAAGCCTCGAAATAAGTGTTTTCCGAGCAGTGCACTCGAACAGTGTTTAACCTACACAAAATGCCGAAGTAAGCGTTTTCCGAGCGATTCTCTCGAACACTGTCGGACGTGCACAAAACCTCGAAGTAAGACATTTCTAAGCGATTCTCTCGAACAGTGTCTGAAATACACAAAATCCCGAAGTAAGCGTTTTCCGAGCGATTTTTTCGAACTCCGTCGGTCGTGCACAAAGCCTCGAAGTAAGAGATTTCTTAGCGATTCTCTCGAACAGTGTTTGAAATACACAAAATCCCGAAGTAAGCGTCTTCCAGCGATTTTCTCGAACACCGTCGGACGTGTACAAAGCCTCGAAGTAAGACATTTCTTAGCGATTCTCCTGAACAATCCTTGTTCAGCGCCGGTGACCCACGTGGGTGGTCCACAGTGATTCGCTTTCTCGATGTGGTGTCCTCGTAGTCGTATCGTGCCGGATCTTCTTAGGGGAGCATCTCTCGAATGAGGCATATTTATCCAGAGATGCTCCTATATATAGGGTTGTTGTTACTGACAGTCGTTATTGCCCGGTAACAATACCTTTTTTATTAAGGACAATCAATCCTGCAGAAGTCATTAAACTGTTAGTTGACACACCGTATAGCAATATTATTGTAAACCGACCGCCCGAAATAAACAAGTTACTATCACTGGGCCACCACGCCTATCAATAACAACGATCGTTTACATAAAAGCATCACTGGGGGAGTATGCCTCATTCGAGAGAAGGTAGACAAAAGAGTCGTATCGAGCCGAATTTCCTTCAGTAGAGGACACCTCGATACGACGACGATGACACTACGTCGTGAAGAGAAAGAACTGTGGACCATCTACTGGGATTACCGGTTCTGAAAGAAGCAAAAATATCGAAACTGACCAGAAAACCTCTTCATGTTTACCGTGATAATCCAATTTATTGATTAATAAAGGCGGTGTTAAATGGTCACTGGGTTGAAAAACATAACTTTGTGTTCACATAACACCTTGGCGACTCATTGTAAGTCAATCGATAGCTTATCAAACACCAATTGTATATGAATAGTTCTTCTCAGCCATACTTGCAATAACGCAGAAAGCAAGTAACATCATAGTTCGATGATCAACGAATTTTTTTCATCACGCAAAAGTGATCTAAAAACATACCTAATATGTAGAAGTTAGACAGGGATAGCAAAAATGGGAGTGAACCGAACAATACAGCGCTAAACTAAAGAAAAACCACGTTTCCCTAATGCACTCCATGCCACTCCATAAGTTATTCGACAGGCATTTCATTTTGATTCACCAGTTATCGTATCAGCGCTAAAATTCATGTCACTCTCCGTTCTAATGAGGTTAAAAAGGATGAAACTCTTGCGGTTGATCAATCGCTGAGGGATGCGCCATGCATTCGACTTTATTAAGCATCGTTTGGAGGTGATTGAATCTGGCCTTTACAATGACTCGTGGTGGCCTACTGATGTACCAAGCCAGTACTGCTATACCCTCCCAGACAAGTCTAGCACCAATTTACCGACACAGGAGGGATGGAAGGCTTGGTGAGCCAGTGGCGCGTGTGGCGCAGTGGTTGAAGACGCCCTGCAGCACACACGTGGAATCGATCCACGCGCCCATGGCTCACCAAGCCTTCCATCCCTCCGGGGTCGGCCGTAAGGAGGTTATATCCTAATATCCATGTCCTATTCGTATAAAAGTTCTCCAAACTGTTCAGTTATGAATTCGAACTCTGCCATGGCAATCGGATGCTGATCGAGAGTTCGACCGGTAATCAATGTTGTTATTCAGGAAGTGTGCTTCTGACGATCAACTGAGTTTGATTAATGTGCACAGATGAAGAAAGGATAATCCATCATCCATGATGATCATCCTGTTGCCCTTTATTTCAAACGAAATAAGTGCAGCTATAAAACGCTGCTTAATAAGGGCCGGTCTAGAGAATTCCGTAAGAGTGATAGAAATACCACCGGACACTCTAAGACGCCAGCTAGTTCGCAACCGCCTGTACGACCGTCTATGTACAACAAAAAACTGCATAATTTGCCCAAATGGTAGAGACGGTGATTGCATGAGTTCGGGTACAGTCTATCTGATCTCTTGTAAAGCGTGCGGGCACGAATATGTTGGCGAAACGGGTAGACCGCTCTGCGTCCGCATAAAAGAACACCTAGTCGGTAAATCTAAATTAAAACAAAACACTCCACTAGGCGCGCATAGGATGCAAGAACACAACGGAGAAGATTTTGAGGTAGGAGTCACTATCCTTACGCAGGAATCAAAAACATCAGCGCGTAAAACTCTTGAAGCGTTTTGGATCAATGCCAAAAATTCAAAAATGAACCACAAGGAGGAGTGTCTTGTCATCACGCGTGGCCTGGCGCCATACCTCAGGCTAATCCAATGACCTGACGCAGACACAGTTATCGTCCATGTATTACTCTGTGCGGCGGCTATCCATCAACTAAATTAAATACTTACAACAAATAAACGGTAGGTGTTTGAATGAAGCTGCTTCTTATGCGAATGGAAATCGATTTGTCAAGTTTTATCTGCTAGGGTTATGAAAGTGTTTGGCTGAGTAGATCACATCTCACTTTGACCTTTCCAGGTTCTGAAGAAGGCGAAGCCGCGAAACGTCAGCTATTGTATTTTAATAAATTCTATATTAACAACTTCGTGTCTGCTTATTGATGAAAAACATGATGATTTATTTCCTCTCCACATCATGAAAGTCTAAGTGAAATACGAAAAATATAGATGAAAGCTTGCAATGAAACTCGATAAGGAAGATTATTCACTAGCTGAATTCGGGATGCTGTTTTAGAGATTTTAAAGGCTTTCCAGGTAATGTTTCTAGAAAACATCAATGCCTTTACGATTTGCTATTGCAGGTTTTTTCCTTCGATATCATTGTATGTTTCTTTTAATGGAGACGCATAAACCGACGAAAAATATGACGCCAATAATGATAGCTACGATGATAGCAGTAATTTCATCCTCAGTTCTGATCAGTGAATTCAGATGGTCGAAATTAGTGTCGACTTGTTCAGCGTTGTCCGTTGGCAATCGTCTTCGACGAATATCTCGTTTTCGCATACTAAAAACATTTGTTAGAAAAAAAATTCCATATTTGGTTTTTTTTTTGCTTGAGTGGACTAACGCGATTGGTTAAAGGATAAAAGATAAAGCTTCAAGCCCTCAGCGTTGATCAATCCCTCTAAGTATGCGCCATGCATTCGACTTCATTGAGCATCGTTTGGAGGTGATTGAATGCACATCTGGCCTTTACAATGATTCCCGGTGGCCTACCGATGTGTTGAGCCAGTACTGCTATCCGCCCAGACAAGTATGGTACCAATTTGCCGACCCCGGAGGGATGGAAGGCTTGGTGGGCCATAGGCGCGAGGATCGATTCCTCGAGTGTGTTGCAGGACACCTCTGAGTGCTGCGCCACACGAGCCCTTTTTGAAAAGAAAAAGCGCGATTAGTTACCGTTTCAAATTTCGCCACCTTTGCAGAAATTGGCCAATCACGACTAAGCAGCACTACTGCACGTTGTATTAGAAGCTTCACCAACATGATTACTTCACTTGTGAACCCAAGAAAACAACGAGATTGATGGTTGGGAATACAAAGAGGAATAAAAACAAGGTTTCGCAATAATAATTAATTGAAAAACCATATATTTATTTATATGATCTCATGAACTGATCTTAGCTAAAGCGAGGTTGGTATAGGTATTCGTTATCGTTGTCGTTGTTCCTGTTGTTGTTGGTCGATGGCTGGCGTTTCGGCGATTTCACCTTCCTCAGAGCGGTAGGATTCATAACAGAACGGCTGCTAGCCCGTAAGAGCACGACTACTAGTCCATAACAGCACGACTACTAGTCCATAATAGCACGGGTACTATCCCACTCGTAGCATCACGGCTCTGAGGAAGACGAAATCTCCGAAACGTCAGCCATCCGACCAACAACACCAACAACAACGACAACGACGACGAAGACCTATACCAACCTCGCATCAGCTAAAGAAGATCAGTTTATAAAATCATATAAATAAATATACCAACTATCTATGCCGAGGTTTATAGTAAGCCGGTCTTTTGAAAACTATACTTTTCATTGGTGTAATAGGCAGGTGGAGAGGAAAAACGCATTTCATTGCCCATTTTGTTTGTGCTGAGATGCCGACTTTGCTGACCTAAATTGAATATATCTTAGCATAACATTTCAAGAAAGCCACGGAAGAGTCCTTGAGGGTAAGAAAAGCTTTTCAACGTCTCCATTTACAAACAAAATATAGTATAGGGCTACTTTTGCAAATATTCCCAAGTATCCATTGGTTGTAGTGTACCTTTATTGGCTTTCAACAAACGTTGAAGTAGATCTTCTGCTTCGTCGACATTCATAAAATGGCCTCCAAATAGAACACTAAATGATCACTATCGTTTCCGTCTACTTCTTCATACCGCTTTTTCACTTCCTCTTTATTTATTCTTTTATTCCTTCCTATAGTGGGCGTATTAGTTTTGGTTTACTACTCATTCACTCACCGTTTCTCTCCTTTGGATTCATCAATTGGTGACGTTGCTTTAGACATTCGACAGCTGTCGATACGATTGAAGCTCGTTTGTGGTACTAATAAAGTACATTGTATCATTAACGAAACCCTAACATCGTAATCAGTCAGGAATTTCAAAGAATCACCCAGCCTTAAGTGGATTACTATGCTGTGACTACTTAAACCATAATCTGTAACGATTTCTACCTAGTCACGGAGTGGGATTCACTACCGGCAATGCCTAGCAATTCCGAAATCATAATGGCTTACAATAGGTAGAGTATTGCATTGTTGTGAACCACGTGCAAAACAGATAAAACAACGAAAATGGAAATGGAGATGTAAAGAAAAGGAAGACTGAGCGCTTAGCTAAGCCAATCAGAATGACTAATTTATTGCAAACCCAACTAGATGGTGTGCTCTTCGTCTGTTCCTTCTTCAAAACCCTCGAGTCACTCCTGGAATTTAAATCCTTGGCTAAGAACTGAAGATTTCAATCTTGTACGAGGTCTAAAGAGGTAAATCTTATAAATGTTTATAGACGATAATTTTTACGTGTAGTTGTGTCAACATATGCAAACTAGTCAACGGGTGTGTCGTATAGGCATAAATGATAGCACGCATAGAACACTGTGAATAGTCAGAATCATCCCAGATGAAATATCACCCACCAATAAAAGGTAGGTAGTGCAGCATCTTGTGAAGGAGGTCTGGAAGAAGGCAAGGAAGGAGCCTTTGGACATGGCTGTGAAGACAGAAGTCGATTCTTTTTCATCTGTGGCGAAGCAGATTTAGATGTACGAGTGCTCTCAATTCGATCGAAGTTCATTTGATGACGACTTCTGCCAGCTGAATGACATGGCTATCAAGAAAGTAATGAAGCAAGTATCCTACAATTCTCTCCAATTCACACTGCATTTTCGTCGTTTTAGACGAAAACTCTGATTTTTTGATGGTAGGTGTATATCTTCGGCTTTTACACGATGTTCATCTATCAAACAAGCCGAGCTAAATACTAACCGCCCATCGATAAGAAAATCTTCGTCTGACTTTTTAATATTTTTTTTTACTACATAAGCTAAATTCCACATCGTCACATCACCAGTATTACGTGTCAACTGTAGGGGCGAGCGAGGCCCAGTGCTCGGAGGCGCCCTGCAACAAATACATGGGATCGATCCCCGCGCCCGTGGCTCACCAAGCTTTCCAATCATCTGGGGTCTGCAAATTGGTGGCAGACTTGTCTTAGAGATAGCAGCACTGGCTCGATAGATCGGTAGGCCACAGCGAGTCATTGTAAAGGTCAGATATACATTCAGTCTCCTCCAACGATACTTAGTGAAGTGCACCCCTCAAGGATTGATCGATGTCCAGATCTTTATCCTTTGTCGTCACACAAATATTAAAAATGCTTAAAATCGAATGGCACTAATCAATTGAGAGTTTCATCCAATCCGCTTCATGTCATGAAAATTAATTATTATCCGATTGATGTAGTTGCTTAAATGATTAATAATAAACATCTTTACAACTATCGCAGTTAAGATTTGAGAAGGAAAATCACCTCTAGATTCCAATTCCTTGTGTTCCATTTCGGTAAGTTTCTTCAATGGCGACTCTGTCTTATTTATGGAGTACATTCGACCGTCGATACACAGACTGAATTTTTCACTTTATGGATATTTTTCAAGAAAAACGACACCTGAAAGGTGCTACGACATTCCAAATGGCACCGCCCAGTATTCGATTGTTGGCAGAAGATGAAATTTTTCCTTTTCATAACTAGTTGCTTTTTCAGCAGTCTCAAGTAGAACGTGAGTCATTCCTGCTTCGTCCTCTTACAGGTAAAAAGCATAAAGGCGCATGGTAGAATGCAACTAAGAGTTGGCTGGAGATCTGTGCTAGGTTGGGACCTCCCTCCTATAGGTACGGTGGAAATGACAGATAGCTATCATCTGATGTGATATCTAATTAAGAAATGTTGCTTATTCAATTTTCTTCGTTTGGTATATATACCGATTGACACCACTGGAAATCGAGAGATAGTTTTTGGTGACCAACTTTACTAGTAAAGGTTCAATAAATCTCTCCTAGATTAACGACGGCGCATGTTAGGCGGCGGTTCGGAGCGCCCTGCAACATATATCGTCATTTGTTCTAATCTGAATCCTAGGCTAACCAACCCTTTCATTACTTCGATGTCGGCACATTACCGTCAGACCTCTGTTGGAGGATCAAAAACACCGACTTGATACATCGTTAAGCAAATTCAGTTCATTGTATTGGCCATTCAGTCACACCTACGATGCAGCGATGAAGTCAAATACATCTGACGTCTCTTAGGGATGGAACAATGTCGAGCGAAATATTAGCTTTATATCAATAATTAGATGTGCTGGACTATATTATTCTCATGCCATTGTTAAAATCAAAATCGAGCAATCAAGCAAGCCGCAACTAACTGGCGCCAGATCAAAGAACCGCTTACGTCAGGGACCATTATGATGGGTTTTGTGAGGTTTTTTTTGGCCTTCTTTTTCATCACTGCTAATATTTTACTTCCCTCCTAACCGTTTACCGCCTCATGCTGGCTAGGAAGTGTTTCTCGGTGTCGGACTGCGTTGTACAGGGAGATTCATTCCCCGGTAGGGTCTCCCAAGCTGAGGAGTCCGGCGTTTCCATCAGGAAGCCTGGCTAAGAGTAAACCAATACCAGGATCCACCACTGCCCTGGTGTCAAGGTCGCATGGTGGTAATTATGCTGGGGCCGCACAACCAGTGAGGACGCCCCATTCAACTATCAAGAATCAAGTAGTATTTTACTCCTGACGTCATAACCAGTGTGGTGAATTACTAACTCTCGTTCATTCAAATCCCCTTCCCTGGTCGACGTATTATTAAAAAAAAAGATTAAAATGACACTGGTATAATAACGGGATAACAGAATAATTTTGCCAGCACCAAAATCTCTCGTCACCTCTTGTTCGGGTTCTTTTTTTCCACTTCCGTTTCTTTTGTTCTTGAATTTCTTCTTATAATTGCCTCTTAAATGTAAGAGATAAATTAAATCAAATATTCTCAGCACTTTTGGTGTGGAGGATAGTCTCTGTGAATGCTCTCTACTTTTGCATGTTCTCATAAGTTTCCTGTTCTAAGCATGCATTGTTCTTCTTGGAATTCCTTCCGATCTTTTACCATGTTATAAAAGTCCTTTGCTCATACCAGGCGGTACCCGCAAGCTCAAGGCTTGCGTGGAATTCCGTAGAACAGAAACGTTCTGAAGTGCAACATTGTGGGTGAATACTATTTAGGGAGCGTTATTGATTTGCCAGCCGATTACGTTCTAGCACCCAGTTACGTTTCTACCTGCTTATGGTTCTTATTAGCTAGCGATGTACAACGTAATTTTTTTCCTTTTACTACTCCTACACTGTTTCAGAAGGTACCTCACCGCTGTTAGTGTCCCCTTACTCTTCATAACGTGTATGCAAAATAATCACGTTATTACCTCTACGTGAACACATGTGCAGGCCTCATTCGTTTCGTCATTCGTGGTTTTGCTTGCCTGAGGCTTCGAGTAACAGTAAACCAACAAAACCCTTGTGATGAAACAAAACTAAACACACCAATCGACATATAAGCACAACGAATTTTCGATGTATATCCATCTTCTCGAAGAGATCCGTTACCACGTCGATAGATTTTGTTTGTATAAAACAACTTCCTCCAAACGGCTGATAACCTCAACGTGGCTGAGACGTAGGTGACGGGCTGCGATGTACATCGGCGAGATTCATTCCTAAGGTCTGCCGAGCTGAGAACGAGTCCGGTGTTTCCACCAAGAAGCCCAGATAAGAGTAAAGCAATACCAGGATTCACCACTGCCATGGTATCAAACTGGTCGCATGGTGGTAAATAACGCTCTGATCCAGAACGTCGGCGACTGCCTGTGGTGGTGAAGGACGACCTGGGACCATTGCCACGTTGTCCTCAAGACTCGAGGAAACCAGCAATTCTCTGGGGAATGAGAATCATGCTGGGGTCTGCACAATCAGTGAAGACGGGCCATCCAAGTCCCACGTAAGTAAAATGACTTGAATAGATAAAAAAGATGTTCAGCTAAATTGCTGTCTACAGAGACATAGTAATTGCCACTTTTAAGAAAAGCGTTTTCACTAACAAGCATTTCACTTCGTGAAGTTATTACGTCAACAAATGTCATGAGTAGTAGCACAGTTCTAATCTCTAGAGAGCCCATCGCATAGTAAAAAGTTTCCTTTCAATAACGATAAAATATAAACACTTAGGATATACGAACTCCAATAAAGTTGACTGAGAACATTCTCTGACACCTCTCCTATACGAGCCCGCTATCACTTGACTAACCACGGTAGTTTGTGAATACTAAGTGGCCTTAAGTATGGTTGAAACCGAAAGCCGTACTCGCTCATGTAGCGCCGATCACATTTTTGTTCCACTGTCACCATGAGCTGAGAGACAGGCGAAAAAAAGGATCCGAATGTGTGGTGGTGAACCGGATAGCCTCCAAAAAGGCTAATACCGTTTTAGGTCTCCACCGCTGAGGCATGGTTATATTTCTCGTACTATCCTGCCATTAAAAAAGCATAGGTAGTGAATAAAAAGTGACGTCTATTGTCATACTTAGAATTCCTTGCTTATTAAACTGAGGTTTACATAAGAGGCTCATTCCCAATCGAACAAACGGGCATCTGTATTCTTTTACCTACCATCGTTCTTCTTTCGCTTCACTAATTTTTTAAATGTCGAACGTACGAGTAATGTGTCTTTAAACACTTTCAGGTTTCGCTATTTGTTATCGCGTTGTAGAGAAATAAAGCAAAAATCTGGGCATGAACTCAACACGAACAACTCATGTAAACTGCAGAATCTTTAGAGTATTTTTTAAGGGCCGCGCTAACAATAATTCCTGAAAATGTGGCATAGCCATCTTTCTATTCGCTTCATCATATTTCTCGGAACACTTTCTGCAGCAAACTGCGAAATGCACTCAGATAGAAGGAAATCCAACCACAGCTACCTGACGGGTACGATTTCCTTTTCGGTGACAGTCGTAAACGTTTCTGCAGTAACAATGCTTTCTGACGACGAGACGATCTCATCTGTTTAAAGATGTAACAGCACAACACAATTCGCACAACACATTGCAACAGTACAGCGAAGCATAACAGTATACTTCCTTCTCACTGAACAACTAAACCAGTGGGCTCACCTATATCAGTTCTCATGGTACAAACCACCAATCACATATGCGTCCTGCACATGTGTTCACGAAGATCCTAGTGGACGAAACTTCAAATTCGATGCGATTTATGATGAGATTGCGGCTGATTGAACAACCTTGTGTTCATGCTATTCAGCTATTATTTTAAAAATAAACTATGTAACTATCCACGCCCACTGTCCAAATTCTTTATGTCCCACTGGATTTTTCTTTACTAAAGATTATAGCAATGCCACGAATTTTTCAAAAGTTATAACGCTTCATTTCAAGAACAGATGGAATACGCACCTCTATTTCGCTCTTTTTGAAAGGATTTTTCAACGTTTGAAGATGCATTTCGTTCTTTTCTAGACTTTCTAGGAAGCTTTAACGGCCTTTCAGGATCAATGACAGCAACAATGTTGTCGTCGAATCGAATTCTGAAACCGCTTCAATCAAGAAGTGTATCGTTTCTTTTCAAATGTAGTAGCTATCGTTCGACAATCATTAGGTAAGGAATATTGGATCAAGTTAGTGCTAGACCCTACTACTTTTCTAGGATTTTCCAACGGCTTCGTGGTCACACCTTGTTGGAATTTATGAGTGATAGATTAAGACTTACATGTTCATCCTAGACAATGGAGCACCCTATTCCTGCTAGATGGAAAAATTTGTAGCAGACTTCTCCGGGAAGAGCTCGTCCGGTGCAAAACGTTCAGCGAATGCTCGTGATCAGGAACTGGGAACGGTCTATACTACAAGTATCCCAGGATTTCAAGAAGAACCACTTTTCATTCATGAAAAACCACTTTTTTCACCTAGGAGCTTAACTGAAGCTCAAAATCCGAGGATCTTCTTGGTTGAAGGACAAAGAAGACAAGAAGTTGAATAAATCAAGTACTGTTATCTTCCCATCATGCGAACACGGGTAATATAAATAAATAAATGGTTGTCTGGAGTCCCAGTGTCAACCTAGCTAAAGCCTTCCTCAGGTTGTCACCACCACAAGCAGTTTGTGGGTAAGAGCGATATTTGCCATCATGCGACTACTTCGATACCAGGGCGGCGGTGATTCCTGGCATCGGTTTACTCTCAGCAGGATTTCCGGATGAAAGCGGCAGTCTCCCTTTCGGCTTGAGAGACCCTTCTGGATGGATGAAGCTTCCACTGCACATTTATGCGCCGTCACCCAGAAATGTACTCTAGCCATGGAGCGAGGCGGTAAACCGTTGGAAGGCGAACCATTGTAGAGCAGGAAAATGTCTGAGCGACAACACAACCGTTCATGGAGTAACCAATCACTTTTCGATAATGTTCTTTTTAAATCCTCCCAACGGTTTACCGCCTCATCGTGGCTGGGAGGTGTTCCTGTGTATTGGGTTGCGATCTACAGCATGGGCTTCATCCTCCAGCAAGGCTTCCCAAGCTGAGAAGGAGTGTGAAGTTTACATCTGAAAACCAGGCTAAAAGGAAACAAATGCCAAAAATCACCAGCTCCCTGAAATCAAAGTAGTCACATGGTGACAATCCAATCTCTGATCTATAAACTGCCTGGGATGGTAACAACCTGAGGAAGGTTTCAGCTAGGTTTGCACCAGAACTTCATGGAATCACAATGGCTACACATGCAAAATTTCTGCATCAATAAACCGCACACTGGGCGCTGCTGTCTACGTCGGGCAGTGACACAACCAGTAAGAGGCGATTAAATTCCGGGTTGAACAGAAGGTCATTGGAAACGACCAAAACGAGCACAGCCACGGCACTCCATGGAAACTGCTTCATGCCCTGAACTTATTGCGCCAGAACAGTTTCTTCAGACGCCGGCCTTTATGCTATTCTTGAGGCCGCCGATAGCATAAAATTTCATGTAATCGCCCCACAACGGACGAAACGAAAAGCACAAAACCGTCTTACACCAATTAAATGATAAAGCCCTTGTCATTCAAGGAAGTAAATTTCCGTTACAAAATTTCGGAGGCGTTGTCTATCATCAATATACTCTTCTAGACTCTGAAGAAAGCGATACTGTCGAAACGTCAGACACTTTTGTGTTCAATGTGTGTTTTTGTATGGAAGTAAACGCATGCTGTATAACAACCTCGCGATTGCTGAATAAGAAAACGACGCATTTATAATCCAATCCCGGCAATATGTTGTATGCCCATCCACTTCCCATTTAGTCACCTCATACGAATTCCTATCACTGCGCTTGGCTATTCTTCGTCGTTAAATTGCGTGTCAAAAGAAAGTCATTACCACCGACTGTTACACAGCAACTTGTACATGTAATAAGAGTGAACTAAACACGCTGTACAACCAGCTGGAGAAAGTAATTCACAACGAGAAGTCCTTCCATAAATTCGTTGTTGACGACTTCAACGCCAGATTATTAACGGTCAACGGAAATCGATACACAATAGGGAAATTCGGAAAAGGTGAACGAAATGAGAGTGGGAACCGTCTTGTAGGACTCCTGTCCGCAACATGTCTTTTCCACAGAAGTTGATTTGTCGAGAAGAGAGACGATCGCCGATGTATATAGAGATCTCCTAACGGCACGACTTGCGGAGATCGATCATATTCCCACGAACAGAAAGTGGTGCCTTTTTGACACATAAGTGATACCTGGATTTTGTACTGAATCTGATCACCACCTTCTTCGCGCGAAGAATCCTTTCACTCACAAACCGGAAAGGTACTCCTATCATCGTCCAGGAAAAACGAAAGAAATCGTATGTGACGAAGATGTTCTCAATGAATTCCTCTCTTCATAGGAGTGGCAGATGAACGGAGACCCGATATCTGCAATCTACTGCAACACACCTAACCCGGTTGATAATAAATGATAATAAATGCCAATTGTAGAATATCTTTGCAGAAGGGCTCACATCGGTACAGGAAGAAAAAGTTGTTAGAAGCAACTCAAAAACGATCCACCCCAAAGTGCCGTCGAGATCTCTGCGATTATAATGTTCCATTACCCACCTTGATGAATGAGAATGGGACCATCATTACATCTCGCCATTATATGGAATTGATAACGAAAAGGATCTCTGCCAATCTTGTCTGCTCCACATCCCGTCTCCTATGCCAAAATCTTCACTAGTGAAAAACTGTCCGGCATCCTTTACTCTGAAGTTCAAGTTGCGATAGAAAGCATGAAAAGCAGCTCTAGCACGCAATAATATCACCGCCGATTTCCCTAGAGCTGGTGCCCACAAAAAACACGTATTTCTCGAACCCACATAACATCTTGCCTTCACAAAGAGAAAATCCCAAAACAGTGGAGGAAATCGCGCACGCCCACCATACCCAAGAAGGGAACCGAAGGAATCTACGTAACTGCCGTCTAATATTCTTGTTGATTGTACTCAGCAAGCTATTCACAAAGAATATCCTTCTGCACATATTGAAGAGTTTGCATGAGACATAACCAGTTAAAGAAGTAGGATTCCGCTGCATGGAAAACATCGAAATCGTATCAATGGTCATAGAGGATTGTCAGAAATACCATCTGCCCTTGTCCTAACCTTTATCGACTACAAAAAGCGTTCGGTAGTGTCGAAACGATTACAATCCTATTGGTGCACGCCGAACAAGGAGTGGATCCATCTCATACACAAGCAATAGTAGATTGTTATCGAAACTGTAGCATAAATCTACAGCTTTTTCTTTAACTCCTCACCACACCCACAAGAAAAAGGATTTGACAAAGTGACACAGTGTCGCCGAAATTTACTGGCGCGCCGCAGTAGACAATGAAGCCACTCGATTGAGTCGAGAAGGGTATACGCACTGATAGAGAATTTCTATCAAATCTTCGTCCCGCGGATAATATCGTCACCTTTTCGAAAAGTCCTAATAAAGCAGAGATAATACTCAATGAAATCAACGAAGCGGGGAAAAAGATTGAACTGCGCGTAAATAGGACGAAAACCCAACTCAAAAAGAACCCATGGTGCGAAGGTGAACAAATCGAACTGGATTGTTGTATGATTACAGAAACCACCTCGTACATGTACTTTGGATGCTGGATAAACATCGAGAGAATGGAGGAATTAGGCAGAAGAAGAGCAGCACAAACCACATTCAGGCCACTCAATGAAACCAACGACGAACTAACGGAGCCAAAACTTCGCGCTCACCTTTTCGATTCGACAGTTCTCCTAGCGCTCTTTTATGCAGCAGAGAGGTGAGCTGATAGTTCAACCACGTCAAGCATTCCTTGCAACGCCTACATAGCACCTGAACGATGTCGTCTGAAATTTAACCGGCACTCACATGTCTAGCCGAAATGCACAGTTCAGATCTTCGGAACCTATCCTGTCTTCGGGATCCATGAGAATAAACATCAGTGGCGAGACATAGATAGCCCAGTCCCATAGCGAGAAGTCGAGATGAAAGATGGATCAAAAGAACACTGGAGTAGGCTCCAAAAGAACGCAAGCGTACTCTTTGAAGACCACCCAAACGATCGGCGGACGTGTTCGTGGCTAACGTCAACCACTACATTCGCAGATAGCAACGATTTCAGAATTGCGGACTGGGCATCGAGGGCTTCGTCACGTACAAAGCAGACCACCACCATGGACGGTGAATGCAGATGAGAGAAACAAATGGAAAATTTCCTGGGGCCGGCGCAACCAGTGAAGACGGGCGATCCAAGCATCCAAGTAATTTCTCTTTAAATATTTACAAAACAAATCGCTCTATGTAAAATAGTCTCACTTGTCTAATGATGGTAGAGAATCATCAGTTTTGATAGGCGATGGAGTCGTTTTCGAGCTTTGCACTAAATTATCTCATTGTTTATTTATGAGATCTTATAAACTGATCTTCTTAAGCTGACGTGAGGTTGGTACAGATCTTCGTTGTCGTTGTCGTTGTCGTTGTTTTTGATGTTATTGATCGATGGCTGACGTTTCGGCGACTTCGCCTTCCTCAGAGCCTGGACGTACTTTATGTTAGAATACTTTTTATTATTCGGTGGAAAAGAAGGTTAAGGTATTAATGAAGATCAAACTTTCAAATAGACGCCATATTGAACAGAAAGGCCACTCACCGTGATGTTACGTGCGGGACTGGCCCACACGTAGTTCACGTGGAGTCGCGAGCAAGACACGCCCCGGGGTCAAAATATCATTTTGAAATAGGGCGCCAGGTCACGTGTGACAGTGAGGCATTCGTCCTTCCGGTTCATCTTTGGATTTTTGAAATTTATCCAAAACGCCTCAAGAGTTTTGCGCGTTGATGTTTTTGATTCCTGCGCTAGGATCCGCACATTCACTTCAAAATCATCGCCGTTGTGCTTTTGTGCCCTATGCGTACCTAGAGGGGTGTTTAAACGGATTTTAGCTTTCCCATCT